CCCCCCAAAAAAACAAATGCCCCAAAAGTGGGAAAAAAAAATTTAAAAAAAAAAAAAAAAAAAGAGTCATCCATAGTTTTTTTAGAAATTACTTTTAATAACAAAATGCAACACGTGTGAGGTAGGAACAGCTGGAAAAAAACCCCCACACTTGAATGCAAGCCTAAGTTGCAGTCAAGACCATATTCACTACGAAGCCCTCACAGCATTGCAAGATGTTGCATTTGGTGTAAAGAAACAAAGTGTATATAAACAATGATAAACAACTTTGTACAGTTAAAGGCTAAAATACTAATTGCACTGTATCTCTGCCAGGGACTAACAAATTCTTCCTCTGTATTACAAGTCTAACAGAGTAAGTAACATTTTCAGTGCTTTATCATCATCCTCCATTTTCTCTACTTTGTTAAAGATAAACATACACTTAGGCATTATGACTACCTCTAGGAAAAAAAAAAAATTAAAACAGATCAATAAACTGTATCTTGTTGCCTTCATTACATATCTTCTAGACTGTAAAAAGACACTGTAGTTTGACTCTAAGAAACTAAGAATTTGTCTTCCAGTAGCATTTCCTTTCTTAATAAGTACAACTGAGCACGCTATATAAATGTTTTAAAAGACTTTCATGGAAGAGAGGTGGATTCCCTCCTCCATTTAAAAGCGAACAAAAAACTCATTTCCAGTATTTTTATTATTATCGCATTACACAGCAGGTTATAAATGGAATATAAACATAGCAAGGAAAACCAAAATAAACCAGGAGGCACTTGAACAATTATTTCAAAACCACTCTATCTGATACCACACTGAAACTTCATTACGCTAGAAACTACGTAGGAAAAGTGCAAATTAGCATATGAACCCAAATAAATTCTGCCAAAAAGACACTATAATGAAAGAAGAGGACACATAACATTTATACTGGTTATTAGAGTACAGCAGATGATCCAGTCCTCTCCAACACAGACCTCCAAATTGCTTCAAGATGAACGCTAAAAAAGTAAAGCTTGCAGAGTTCTTGGTTATAATAAGCAGCTCATGGTCCCAGTGGATACTATATCTAAGATTATACATTCTCTAGAGCAGAACTTCAGCATATTTAAAGCGAGAGCGATACTTGGACTATTCTGCTAGAAATTATTTTTTCCTAGTTCGAAGAGACATGACTAGTATTTGCATAGTAAGATACTGTTTTTAAAATGCGAGATTGGTAGTATCAGTCATTAATACAAACTGATATGTTAACAGCGCATGTCTAGGCTGAAAACAGATCATCGCTGGCCTCATGCCTCACTATGCATGTAAGGCAGTCAAAAATAGCCTGCTCACGCACATCTCAGATTATTCCTCTACTATTAGCAGACTTCAAGTGAAAGAACTGCACAAAGTGCTGAAAAACACTACTGCGGTATTTAGTAACCTATGAAACTGCCATGTTAAATAACGAAATATCAATATTTTAACAATTTTAAATACTACCTACATACAAATAAAATCATCGGTTCCTGCCATTTGCAAGTACTACATATGTAACCACTGAGTCAAGTTGTCTAGAAAGCCTCTCTCTGCCTTGCGAAGTGCTGCATAGTAAACTGACCTACCTTATGCTTTGTGTAGCCCCTGAACTCAAAATGCATTTAAGTTCATGAAAATTCAAAGTAGAAAGGGAATAATATCCTGACTAACTGCTTCCGGTGGATGAAATAAAGGAGGTGTTACAAATTTCAAGTCTGTTTTGAATTCTATAGAGGAAAAAGGCTTCAAAACAACACCAGCACACCCTTCCAGTAGTCTCAAAGTTACATATTACTACATTTATATTGAAATACTTAAAAAGCAGGCATACAATCTTGACGTTTTTCAATACGAGTGAACAGTATGTTCTTCAGATATTGGTATCAGTGACATCTGGCACTCTACAGCAAAACGGACAGAGAGAAAACCGGATTTATTCAAAACGCAGGTAGTGGTATTACACTCAAAACCAAACTACACCCGCCCCCAGCTCTAAGTCAGATCACAGTAGCTACCACTGCCTTTTCCTTTCTCAAAGAGTATTCCTCCTCTGTTTTTTTGGGTGGCTTTTGTTTGATTGTTTGTTTTTGTATAAAGAGGGATTATAGACAAACTAGCAGAAGACTTTATCCTCATCAGGTTTCCACTATCAGAGCAGAGGAAGGTTCCACTGTACCGACTGGATTCCACTACATTTCCCTTCCACCCAGCGTATCTTATTTCTTACATTCAGACAAGCAAAACCTTTGCCACATCTCTTGCAATGCTCTCCGACAAAAAGCTTCTCCAGTCACTTTAAGTTCCCTGCCAAAGGCCAGCTTCACTTCAGAACTCACCAGGGTGAGGTTACCCGGCTTTAGGGGGAGTTTACGAGCAGGACGTGGAAATTAAGTACCATTCTAATTAGAACAGTGTGGGAATGTATCGGCTGGTTAAAGGTCCCTGCCAGCCACAGACCACACGGTGAACCGGTTTTCACACGTGCAAATAACGTTCTACACAAACTGACAAAACCAAGTGAAGGTGAACCTAAAAATGCTTGGGCCTTGGAAACATGCATCAATCTAGTGCAAACAAAGATACGGAGTTAAATTGGTCTGAACTGCGAGACTGCCTTATTTCCAAATTTCAGCTCTCTGAATTCAGAGCATTAATCAAATGAACCCATGCTGAAAAGTAGCTGCAATGTAATTTATCCTCAGATTTAACGAAATCTCTACGCTAACACAATTTCAAAATCCAAAGCAACAAAAACGTTTCCTGAATTTGCCAAACTTTTGCTTCTTACTGCAATGTTTAAAATGTTCATGTCTGAAGCTGTCTGCTTTGCCCCTCTCCCAAGAGGCAGCATTCTTACAGCAGCTTCAGAAGGGAATGTGTAGCACATCTTAGTTGCTTCACTGCAAACTGCAATTTAATCTTCAGCTTAAAAGCCCAGGTCATCTGCAATGTAAGCTAACATGTCAGACTACATTCTGTGAAGTGAGGTGCAGGCATGCATCTCCTCTGCCAACTCCGCTGCACGGGCAGAAACACCTGCCAGAGGCAGAACAGACAGCTGTAGAGGTGGTGAGAAGCCACAGCAAAGTCCATGAAATCTCATTTACTAATAGCATCAGCCATAATCTGCAGTTTATTGCACCCCGGTGTACCATTACAGCTATGACAGCATAAGCATTGACCTTATGGCTTTAGAACCACAATGAAAAACAGATTACTGAGAAAACTGAAAAACGCTAGAAATAGTTTACTCCATTTATGACAAGGATCTCACTGGCTGTTAACATAAACTACATTACTGAAACTTTAAAATTGTGTAAAATAAAGGTCCTTTTTAACTTCTCACTCTTGAATTCTAAATTGGAGGGTAAATCTCCTGAAGACAGAGATCACCTCAAAACCAGGTACATTTTTCTGAGAAGCACTTCTGGGAATTCTGGGAAGATGGGAGGGAAGGATCAGATGGGAAGGATCTCTAGAAGCCTTACACGGACCTAGAAATTTTTCCGTGGGCACGCCATCCCCTCCTTAAACACACATTTTCTCCTACTCCTTATCCCAATGTGAAAACTACAAGGCACAAACCTCAGTCAAATGAGGTTTTACAACTCCAGAGCAGGTCCTCCTCCCGGTAAGCCTTATGAGTTAATAGTCATCTGAGACCCTGCTGCTGCAGATGATTTGAAATCCAAACAGTAAATAAAGCTTTGAAGCATATAATTAAGAAAGTCTGAAAAGCTATGAGACCTAGACTTCTAATTTATTTATTCTTCCTATTAGTTTTGATGGCATTTTACTTATTTCAATCTCTGAAACATACTTAGCTACAGTAAAAATGTGAACAAGTTACAGTAAAAAGGTAAATAAATTTAAATTTGAGCAGACACATGCATTGTTAGTGGAACGTGGACAGACCATATTACTTTATTATGGTAACGATAAAGGCAGTAAGAACTTAATCCACATCTGAAATTCCACAGCACACTAAATAACACGGTACAAACATTCAGAAGGCAGAGGTGGGGAAAGAAACCTAACTACTTTAAAGATACCATATGATAACACACAACGAGGAAAGCCTCTGCAGAAACCAAACTTCAACTCCATGAGCCAGAAAAGCCCTTCTAGTCTTGTTTTCCCAGGTGGATCCTTTCAATGATGGACTGGCCAACTCTAACTACAAGAAGCAAGTGCTTCCTTTCAGTGCTGTACATGGTTACACATTAAAATATCAGATTTTAATTAGTTATAAGACAGCCATTTCAGCAAGATCATTAAAAAGTAAAAAACAAAATTATCAA